GTGAAAAAATTGGTAAGCTGAGGGGGGGTCATGCGGTTTTTAAATGGTGCTTCCCAAATCCCACCAGCCCCCCCTCCCTCATAAAAAATGAACGGTCCCTTATACGCACATATTTTTCAATGCCTCTTGTTTATTCGACGATCAATCTCATTTTGAAGAAGAATATTGTCTCTGCGGTCTGCTCTCTACGTATTGACTTCAAAACATTATCTCCTTGCCTCGACAAGGAAAAACACGAGACAATTTGACTTCTTGAAAGTCTGATTGCCTACAAATGTTATGTTATCGATTGCGAGCTGCTTTTATATATTTCATCACGTGTTTCTGTCAATTAGCTTAAAAAAGTAAACTTCTGCTACCATTTATATCAAAGGTCAATTATACCAATATACCACAAACAGTATTACATGAAATGAAATGTTTGAGTTTTTTATTTGTCTTAGAACTCGTTTCCCGACCAAAAATACTTAATTGGATGTCAAAAAGCACACAGGGCTGGGTAGGATGAACAACTCAGAATGCCACAGAAGTAATTTTCACTCAACTTGATAAATTGGCGGGATAGTTTATTTCTTTATCTAATCAACACTCGTGATCTTTCCTATCTCCGAAGGAATATAAATGATCTGTATCAGGTCCTTGCCCATTTTTAGGACGTGATCACTGCTTACACTTTTTTTTTTTTTCGTTGATGACGCTTCTGCCCGTGGTAGCGCTGATTGTCTTTTGGCAATATCAACACTGAAAAAGTGTCGATTGGCAATGTTTCAAAACCCCTTGGCAGACAATATAAATTTTACTGCATTAGTTATTGGCAGAGAAGTAATTTGTGAGACCATTGGAAATGTGCAGGTGCGATTTCATGAACATGCTAACAGCTGTAGCGACCCTGAGCCTGCCCGCCATCTACTTACCCTGAAGATGACTTATTGTCGAAAACGTTCGGTGTATCAATTTTAACTTTTTGAGCCATGCAAAAAGAAATTGTTTTTTTTTTGTTTTTTGTTTTAATTATTAATAATTACTTTCTTTTATCATCTTTGGATACCACTTTCTAGTATCCATCAGTAAATGTATTTACCTCTTTACAATTGTTTACAAAAGGTAAAGCCACAGATGAGACCATCCGTTTTCAGTTAATAGTACACAATATTCCACATTGCGTATGCATATCCATTGCTAATGGCCATTGACGAAATGGCAATTAGCTAGAGATACCTTGGATGTCCTTATGTCCTTTAGCATTAGTAAGATAAACATCTGTGAGCTTCGTGCTGCTAATAAAAGCTCATCTAAAAATAAATAATCGTCCGACTAGTTAGCAGCCAGTAAGGGGCTGACGTAGAGTTTCCCTTCAGTTACCTAGCATCAAGATCAACAAAAACAATACATTTATGTACAAATAAGGAAATAATTGGTAGATCATAAAATACTGGGGAAAGGCATTACTTCATACTCTTTCGTAAGCTCTCTTAAACAGCCAGTAGAATTAAAATCTACGCATTTATTTCCAAATTCTCATGGAAACGGCTTAAATGTTTCTATTATTTTTGAAAGCACTTATAATTATATTTCGATTAATTTCAATTTCTTAACAGACTATATTGGCATCCCAAAACGGTTCTTATATCGTGGGTTCCGATCTCAAATCATTTGTACGCGGCTTAACTAAAACTGACTCACATAAAGGGCCACCAACATAGTAACAAGAAAGATCAAGAGCAAGCAATAGAAAATGAGACCTTTAATCAGTCTTCTTTGCCTTTGTGCAGTTCTTGTGGGACAGCTCGTAGCTAGTCCCTTGCCTCAACAGGGTAAGTTGTAATATAACAAGGACATATTTTATTTTCACTGTTTAGTACATCCTCTAAAAGCATCAGCTTATTTTCAACTATCCATACTTGCATTACTTACAACCTTTTAATGACTAACAATTGTTTTGTTCTGTATCATGAAACTATTTCGTGCTAGTAAAACAAAAGCCCTCTGAGAGGAAATGTGGTTACTGGATAGTCAATAACCACAATGGTACAAAAAAAAAAGTTGCGGAGTTTTTGTTTTATTGCAAAATATTTGCTCTGAAATTTAAGTGCTTGACACATATGTTTGATGCGAGGATGGGAAGCCAGGACGGGAACGGCCAAAGACAAAATGCTTTTTCGTTTAGGACGGCGACGTCAATTACTCGAGCTACCTAAAAGCTTTTCACAAAACCAATGGTATCCTTTAGAGATGGTAGAAATATTATCCTATTAAGCTTAAACGATGGTGAACAAACGACGTTGAAATTATCTTTATATAAGCTTATATGAATTAAGCAAACATTCCTGATCTGTCAGTATTTCAATAATAAAGAATCCAGAATTTCCGTATGAAGAGATCTTATCGACTTGGTTCAGATGGCTTTTTTACCTTAGGTAAATAGTTCAATTTCCATTTGTAATTGAAACAACTATTTATAATGAAACAAACATTACATCTAATTCCGAGTATTATGAAATAAACTGTATCAATTTGAGAATGTACATTTATTTGCTCGATGGATGCTTTCAAGGCACGTAATAATCGTATTTCCAATCAAAACCTTTCGTAAACCGCTAAAAATCCTGCAAGATTCTTCGAGAAAAATACTTTGGCACATTCGGTGAAAGCTATGTATGCCTGGTTTTATGAGAAAGAAAGATGGAAAACTGAGAATACATTGCGGCTGCTCACCAACATTTGTAATTATCCAAACGATGTCACGTCATGTCGAAGGGAGTAGGAAAACGAGTCTGCAATGTCCTTCGTGCGGTCAGCGGTTAGAGATCGCAGTCATTCGTAATGCTTCGTAACGCTATATGTCTGCTAATAAATTCGCAATTTTTTTCACTCCAATGGAAATAACAAATTAAACGGAACAAATTTTAAACAGTGAAAGTAGTTATTTTCTCTAAAACTCCGTTTCAAACGAGAAAATCGATCAAAAGAACTTGAGAAAATCTCGAGGTATTTTCAGCCTCGCTTCGTGAGATCCGAAAAGTTACGGACTATCTAACTTACTTACTTACTAACAGACTCGATGACATTACGGTCACTTCCAGTAACCACGAAAATTAGTAAGATTTTATCTATATCGGATATCCTTTCTTCATCCGTTGTATGTTTAAAAAGTAAGAACCTTGAAAATTAATTAAAATTAATGCAACCGGTTACATCTGTACGAACGAAGTGCAGTTCGTATCGGTCAGGGATAAACAACTAAAGACAGTATAATAAGGACTCCCGAACGCGTCTACTCGAAGTGTTGATTAATTTTCTTCTTTATAAGAGAAAGAAAAAAAAAAAGAAAAAAACAACAGAGAAAATGATTTTGCGGGGGCTTAAGGTTACGGTATATCTTCAGGGGTGTCTCGCGTTCAAGCGATGTAGCGCGTACAGTTTAAGCGGTAGATACCTAAACCACACATCAAATTACAGCTTATAGAGCTGGCTATCAAACTATACCAAGAATTTTGAAATAAAATGAATCGTCGAATTTTTCACGACCACTAAATGCGAGCGCCCGAATCACCTTTCGAAAGCTACAAGTCAAAGCGATTTTTGTTTTTCGCCAATTTCATTTTTTCCTCGGTTTCAGGGCCCAAAGCGCTTAAAAAACGTGTCTGCGTTTTGCCATATTCAATTGCAGTAAAAAGTTACAGAACATTTTTGAAATAGGATTAAAAGAATGTAGAGTGATCGTACAAAAATCGCTCTCGAAGAAAAAATATTTCGAAATTAACAATTCACAGACACAATTTTGTAGTTTATATGTTAAACTAGCTACTGTCCAAATTTGAGGGCAATTCCCAAATTCCCTTTGAGTTATAACTCTTTAAAGTGTGCGCTTCAAGCAAAAATAATTATTCGAGTAAACAGCGCTAAGAAAAATCTTCTCGTTTGCAAACAAACTCCGCCCACAAACGCCTTCAACTGCGTTCTCAGATAACTGAGCCAATCAGTGCAGGGAAAGTTTATTATCGTTGACGTCCTGGTGAATAGAAATGTCCAAGAAACACTTGTGTTTCTCAATGCGCTCAAGGCGCCGAAGGGGGAGAGATAATTTTCTGTAGCTCGGTTCTTCTTGAAGCTGGTCACTCTGGGAAAATGGGGAAGACGAAAAAGGATACGAACGCTAGAGTGGCTAGGCGAAGAAAACTGATCAAAAAAAAAGTGCGGCGGAGCAACTGTGCGTGGTCAACTGTGCATGGATAATATTTCAATGGGTCTCAATGAGTCCAACGATTTGTCGATACCGGATTCATCGGAATCTCTGTCAACATCCCTGTTATTGCTGTCAAGTTCCCAAATTTTTATATAATCTTTCTTTTCTCTTACCTCGATTTTTTCCCCCGCCTTATACGATAGCTATAGCCTCATCCGCGTGGCGAACTTTCGCATCTTCACTCATTGATGTATTTTCACTCGTTCGCTGTTTTCGCTTTTTCGAACTGGTCCATGTTTTTAAAGTGGTCTACCTTTACTTATAACGTAATAAAATTACACCTAATACCAAAAATGCTTGGTAGTCAGAACAATAAAGCTGATCAACTGAGTAGTCAGTTCGTGACATCCGTACAGGTAATTCCCGCGAAAATCGTCTCGGTTGATTGCATACGCGCCATAGGGCTGTCAATCAAGATGTAAACCTTTACTTCCGGCGAAAACGTAAAACCGCCATTTCTCCGCCAATATTTAGTCTTTTCAAAAAAATTTTTTCTAGGAATTAGAGATTATTCTTCGACCACTACTTTGACCCAAAAATCCAAATTTGAAGAAACGACCTGAAGGTATACTGCAACCTTAACACGTTGGCAAGGAAATACCACTGGTTGCAGATTGTCGATCACCTTTAATCATATAGGTCTTGCGATAAGCTGTGCAGTCCTGTTGATAACGCCTCTAGGTGATTTATAAGGCGGGTTTGACAGCATAAAGAGGTCAGCATTGATTTTAACGGTTTTTGAAGGGAAAAAATCATGAATTAGTTTATTCGGAAAGTGAAAATAACATTGTGCTGCTTTTTTGGTAGCGTCGTTTACCCGCCAAGAGCCGTTAAAATCACAAAAAAAAAAAAAAAAAAAA